CTCTCCTGACTTCCTAGTAGCCTCTAAATAGTCCCACACAGGGGAAAAGAAAGCTGGTCTCTGGGCAGTAGAGATATATAATATAGGACAGTGACTATAATAAGAAGAGCTCAGTGACCAGAGCCACATCATCAGAACATGGCAAAGCAGCTTTCATGAATGTGATGAAATGGCAGTCTTGGAATGGGAAATTTTGCTGGATTGTCTGAGTGGATTTGCGTCATCACAAAGGTCCTGGTAAATGAGAGGGAAGCATGGAGGTGGACAGAGAGCTGTGAGGATGAAGCTAGGGTGGCATGACAAGATTGCTTCGCCAAGGTACAAAACAAGAGCAAGGATTCCTCACCCAGAGCCCCCAGGAGGAGGAAAGTAGCAGGAGGAACACCTTGTTTGGGTTCATGAAGCCTGTTACAGACTTTGGGCCACAGGAGCCTAAAGGAGATTTATTTGCATTACTTCAAGCCACTTGTGATTTTACTAAAATTGTACTAGTTAGAATTATACTCATTGGAAATCACTTTCTCCTGACTATAGCAATAGGTATAAAAAATTTTTAAACCTATTAGATTATTGTGCAAGGGATATGTGTAGTATTTGAATTTATACTTGGTTAAACTCCCATTAAAAAGACTATTTTAACCTTAGTTCCACATCCATTGCTAGCAAAGCCAGTACTTAAGTAAGGATAATTTTTTTTTAAGTTGCACAGAAGTACATAGGAGCCTCACCATTTGCACCATTTGGTTTGATGTAAATTTAAATGAATTTCTATAATGTTGCCAATACTGACTCGTTCTATTTTGTCTTCATTCCGGCATTCATAATTTATCTTTCTAAAATTAGCTTGGTATATCCTAGCTTGGTATATGCCTACATTAATTTTTAAGCAAAAAGAATTATTTGGAACAGTACAAAGGCTTTTTAAAAATATACTGAGCTCAATATTGTATAACGGTATTGATTCAACAGCGAACCTAGAAATTTTATAGCCACTTTTGAAGGAGCTGTGTCTTTGCTCTGAAAACTGTTATTGGGCATGTTAAAGCTGTAATGATATGCTTCTTCTAAAAAAAATAAAAAGTAATATTAAATATATATTATTTATATAAATTAGATTAATTTTAAAACTTTAGGTAAGGGCTGGAGAGATGGCTCAGAGGTTAAGAACATTGACTTTTTTTGCAGAAGACCCAGGTTCGTATCCCAGTACCCACATGGCAGCTAACAACTGTCTGGAACACCAGTCCTAGGGGATCTGACAGCCTCTTCTGTCTTCCACAGGCATTTCATAGCATGGATGCACTTACCTACATGCAGGCAATACACACATAAACATAAAAATAATAAATAAAATATTAAAAAAAAAACTTCAGGCAAAACGTCGAGATTCCTGTCAAATGATTCTTATCATTTGCTGCTGCTGTTTGTCATTTAAACACCTTAAATATATGTATGCACACATTTTATTCAAGCAAAGGAATACATGGGAAGTCTGTAAATTCTAGACATTACAAAATCTTAGTTATCTGTAATTTCAGGGAATAGATTTTTTACAGACTAAGCTATCCCTTAACAGTCAAAATTTATATTAAAAAAAAAAAACACCAAAAGTTAAATGACTATCGGAAAAGTACTAATATTTATTCTGCTGCTGAATTTCTCCTTTCATTTGGATTATCATAAAGATAAACCATATAGGTAAAAATTTAGGAACATAATTGAGCATCTTGTCAAACTTTTCCCTCCTATGTTCTCATAGGCAACTTATTTTTGTTCACTACAGGTCACTACAAATCTCTGAAGAATATCCCCAAATCTCTAAATAGCATGTATATCTTTTATGAGCTTTCAGGTAGCACCTACCAAGCCTGTTGCTTGCCTTTATCTCACTTACATGACCCTGCACCTTGTGGGCCCAGGCACCCTGTGAATACTGCACAAACTTCATCTTATCATGAGTAGAGTACATCTACCCCATATTACCCATTTCTCCCCCAGTCAGCTCTGAAACTTAATACATATGGACCTGTACTTCTTATTCAATTACTGGTAAAAATCCGTCTCTTTTCTCTATAAATAATCAGAAGCAGGACCTCTTGTCCATCTTCTGTTTCTAAATAAGACTGTTTACATACCTGCCCATACACGTCTCCCTCCCATTCATTTCTCAGACCTCAGTGGCACTCATTTTCATGTTTTCAACCTTGGTGGTATTCTTTCTGAGATCTTGTCATCTGCCTGTAACATTACTGATAGCAATCTATGGAGTGATTGCTGAACATTGAAGATCAGTAAAGGAACTATGTTGCTTAATTCTTTAAGTATCTTTCTCTATAGACTAGAGTAACATGTTAAATTTAATTTCTCTCGGATGGTTCAGTTTTATGATTGGAATGCCACTGAAAGAAATTTCCTGGAACCAGATCAGATGAGAAAATCAACCTGTCTCTCCCATTTGTGCGTGGCAAATCTTCACATTTTTCTTGCCCTTCACTTACTCTTTCTGGAGACCTCTCCATGCGACCTGGAGGAGCTCTCCTTTAAGCCTCCCCACAACTCTTGCTCTGAGGCTTCCTGCCCTTCTCTGTTCTCTCTGTTGCATTCACTTTTTTATAGATTACATTTCTCTTCCTCCTTGATTCATCGCTTCATTTTACTAGAGGTAAAATTTCAGAGTCATCAGATATCTGAGTTTCTGTATTCTTACATATTTATTTGATGTTCGCTGCAAATAGAATTCACTTGAAATTGCTCCTTCTTGAGAGCTGGAATGCGCTGCTCCACTGTTGCCCACCTAAGCTCTGATCGCTGATACGAAATGATCTGTTTTAATAGTGTCCCATTTTTCCTTCTGGAAGTATATAATACCCTCTCTTTATTCTTGAAGTTTTAAAATTTAACAGTGCAGTATCTAAGTATGAGTGTATTTCATTCATTATAAGTTGAAGTTTATGTGTAGTCACAGGATCCTCTCCACCCTGACCCTCTGATCACTCTCGTGCTGCCCTCCCTGACTTTGTGGCCACCACACTGCTCTCCTCTTCCTTGGCCATGCCTCAGGGACTGTTCACTGCTTATTTCTGTGGTATAAAACGCATGTCCCTCACACACCTGCTCTTTATTCACACAGTCTTATTTGAAATTGCAATTCTCCACCATCCAAGCATGCCTAATCTTTTTATCTTGATTTAGTTTTCTTCACAGTACCTACCATTAATTTACATATTAAAAATACATGCAAACTCACACATGGATGTTTCTGTATTCTTGTGTATACATTTATGTGTGTGCGTATGGTTGACATAAAGAGTAGTTCATTTTCTCATAGATGCAGGCTACAAGTTTGAGATAAAAGTGTTGGTAGGATTAGTTTTGCTTCGGCCTCATGCCGTGACTTACAGTGCTTCTTTTTCCTGCCTTTACATGGGCCTTTCTTTTTAACTCTGCATCCAGATTTCCTCTTACAAGTATATCAGCCATATTTGATTAGTGCACTCTGACTGAATTTTAATTTAATTACCTTTTTAAAGAGCCTATTTCCATACTCAGTTCCATTCAGAAGCAATGTGTGTTTGTACATCATTGTGTGAGTCTCTGGGGCACAGTTCAGTCATGGACACACGTATTTTTTCACAGTCTGTGTTCCTGAGAAAATCATGAGAATGCAGTCTACATGGAAATAAAGGCTTTTTGTTTTGTTTTGTTTTTGTTTTCGGGGGACATGGTGTTCCTATAGCCCCAGCTGTCCTGGAGCTCACTCTGTAGACTAGGTTGGCCTCAATCTCACAGAGATCTGCCTGCCTTTGCCTCATAAGTTCTAGAACTAAAGGCATGTGCCACCATGCTCAGCCTGTAAATGAAGACTTTTTGAGATAGGGTCTTTCCATGTAGCTTTGCCTGGCTTGTTACTTAACTGTATAACCAAGACTGGCCTCAAACTCATGACAGTCCTCCTTCCTCAGGCGTCTGAGGATTATATAGGTATGTACCAGCACACCTGGCAGGAGAGGTTTTAATTGTTAATGTTTATGTTATGCTGCTTTATTCAATACATATTGATGCCTAGAAAAACACCCAGTATATAATGCATGTTAATAAATGTGAATGTACAGCCTCTTGGTGAGTTTCTTCAGTCTGAGGAGTTATCCTGTCATATTTCAGGAAAATCATGTTCTTATTTCATTAATTCATCTTCCTCTCTCAAATTTTGTGTATGATTTTTCTAATTCCGTTCATTGATTTTGGACAAGCTTGATTGCTCTTATTTTCAGTCCATCTGTTGTTCTACTTTGAAGGGGCATATACCTTGAACTTTAACTTCTAAATACCTCTACAGAGTATTCCTTATTTTAGAAAACATACATTAAGTAACTAGGAGTTGTCTTCTTGGTATTATCTTCTGCTGTTGCTATTTTGTGATCTTTCTGCATTTATTTTGTCATATTTTGTTCCCTGAATTGTCAATTTCTTTCTAGGTCATAGCTTTGCTGTAGTTTTTGTTCTTTTTCTTAGGTATTGCTTAAGCATTTTCCTGACACTCCTTGGTCATACAATTTAATTTATACTGAGACAGCAAATATGCTGGAAGTTTATTGTAAGAGTGGGAACTTTTTCCTTCTAATCTTACATTATGATAAGCTGGCTCTTGCTCTTACTCTAGAGGCTGTCTTCAAGGTAGAATGCAAAGGTCTTTGGTTTGAGGAAAAATAACCACCCCATAGTTGGAGTGTATGGAGTATGGAATCAAGGATTTCTTATGTGCACTTTCAATTAGTGTTTTTATTTTCAATTTTAATTTCTATGAATTAAAAGACAAACCTATTATTCATGTTCTACTATTAAAAGGGCAAATTGTCAACCAAGTACTCTCTTGTTCTGACGTCTTAACATTACTGCAGCCTGTGTCAGGGTAAGGCAGTTCCGAGTGCATCCTTGCCCTCTAATCCCCTACTTGCCTCTTCCTCTACCTACCTCATCTTCATTTTTCTGATTACCCACAGGTCTGCAATTAGAGCCTTGCGTCCTGGAGGATTGCTCGTGTACTCTACATGCACACTGTCCAAGGCTGAAAATCAATGTGTGATCAGTGAAATCTTAAACTCCAGTAGTAACATGGCACCTGTGGACATAAGTGGAATAACAAGGACTTGCTCCCAAGACTTCACATTCTTTCCCACTGACCAGGAATGTAGCCTCTTGGTGATTCCTGATAAGGCCAAAGCTTGGGGCCCAATGTATATAGCCAAACTGAAAAAAATCATGAGTACAGGAAAATAGTGACATCAATTTTATAAGCCATATTGGTGTACTACATTTATTATTTGAGGTCTCTGCATGTTAATATTTAAATATATATAGCCATTCTCCCTAGGTCCATTTGGAAACCTGCTTAGTTAATACTTTAGCATCACCGAGCATAAGAGCCTTAAATTATTTCAAATGTAATTTTGTTCCTAGAAATACATCTGCAGCAATGATTTCAGGTGGGACAGATAAAGTTTGTTCTACATAATAAATCTCCTGTCTTTTACTTTGTATTTTATAGTTAAAATTAATCAGAATACATGATTTTATGCATAAAACATTTAGGACTGCAGTTTATGACTTAGGTGTTTAAACCTTTCCTTTTAAAATGTACATTTGCCAACACTCTTACCATTTTCCTCCCTGTCAAGTGCACAGATTCTTTTTGGTAAGAACCAATTGGTATTTAGATAACATCTTAAGTAGCACAATTTCTAGTTCTAGTAAAATAGGATTCTTATTTGTAAAGTTGTTTTCTGTTATGGACTGTCATCTGTTTACTGCAAGTCAGTAACTCTACTGATGCCAGGTTCATTTCCCCCCATTTTTTAAAATTCACAAATACAAATTGAAAGGGTAGATTATGTTGAAAAGCCTTTTGCACGTGTTTGACTTTCAGCATTCAGCTTGTATAATAATGGAGTCTATCCAGCAGGCTATAAAGCAAGTACTTGAAACAAAACTAGAATGATTAATAACTGTAATAACTGAACTATATTTGGAGTGTTTTGTTACATAATTGCAGTCATAATGAATACTACAGAATCTGATTATCTTACTGTTGCAATCTGGAGGTACTTTTTTATTTCCCTCGGTTATAAAATGTTATATGAGAGTGTGATGTTACATATTAATGCACAAGAGAGAGAGAGAGAGATGCCTAATAAGTTAGTTATCCATTACTAAGACCCCAAACCTTTCACTAAGTGGCTGTCTTTGTTTACATATACCCTGGGAGTTTGTGTATGCTCCTTTACATATTTTTTATACTTCAGATTTTAGCTTCAGTTTTTTTATTTTTTGAGAATTTTATACGTGAATGTTGTTTTTGTATTATTTCCACCCTTCCTAGGCCCCCACCAACTCCTTCCTGTTCCTCCACTCCATTCCCTCTATTTCTTAACCTGTTTTTTCATTATTATTGTTACATATACATACACATGCTTATAAATATATTAATATATACATATACATGCATATGTACACATATATATACATATACATACACACACACACACACACACATATATAAGTGCTCCTGTAGACCTGTGTTTAGGGCTGCGAATTTAGGATTAGATGACCTTTCAGGGAGCTGGTCCCTGGAGAAAACTCATTATCCTTCCCCCAGCATCCACTGATTGCCTGTAGCTCTTCATCTTTTTTTAAAATATTTTATTTATTATTTTTATTTTATGTGTATGTGTGTATTGTCTACATATAGGTAAGTGCACCTGTGTCATGCAACTCCCGCAGAGGACAGAAGAGATTGTCGGATCACCTGGAATTGGAGTTATGGACAGTTGTTAGCTGCCATGTGGGTGCTGGGATTTGAACCTGGGTCTTCTGCAAGAACTACTAGTGTTCTTAACCGCTGAGCCATCTCTCCAGCCCTGTAGCTCTTCATCTTGAGGTGGGACCCAGTGACATTCTCCCATCCACCTAGGCATGTCAACTGGTTTTGTTGAAGATCTTTGTTGCCATCACTGTGGCGATTTCTGAGATCATGATACTGGTCTTATCATGTCTAGCATGCGTTAACTTGCAGTAGGTGTCTTGTCCCTCAAACTTCAGTTTTCAATCATGCGTTTTCTCCAGAAATTACTTCACTGAAGTCAAACATATTTTTCCAGCTCTTAAGAATTATGATGTCAGACATGGTAGTGCACATCTCTAGTTCCATCACTTGCAAGGCTAAGGCAGAAATATTGAAAGTTCAAGTCCAGCTTGGGCTGTACAGCACGATCGTCTCTTAAGAAAGAAGAGGGAAGGAGGGACAGGAGGGAAGAAAATCATGCAGCATGCTTCAAATTAGAAATTATCTTTTTAAAATAAAACGTTTTAATAATAGAAATACAAAATTCTACTGAAGCTGGCCACTTTGGCATTATGTGACATATTCTGTGTATTAAACTAGAAACTACTTGTTCATTACATGCTTTTTGTTTTGCAATCCTGTGTAGCCTGAATCACACAACTGGAAAATCTAGGAAAATGTTATTTTTTTTTCTTATACTTTCATTCTCTTTACAACTTTTTAAACTATATCTGACCAATGTGGATAAAGTAAAGCTACATCTCTTGGGTCTAGTCAAGTGTATTCAATTAATGCAGAAGACGAATGATAACAGAAAAGGTTTTGTTTGTTTTAGTTTGTACTTGTTGATTTGTTTTTCTATTTGAAATCCTGTCTTTGGGTATTGTAGGTTTCAAGGTGCATTTCTCTTGTGTATGTTAACCACAAAGTACATTTTGTCACAATTCAGTATGTTAAATGTCATTATTTCCCAGTGTAATATCATGAAGCTTAAATTGAACATTTGGTATGGTATTGGGCTTGACTTTCTCAGAAATACTGAAAAACATTTGTATTATTATTACATATATGCATATATATTATTATTCATGATAATTATAAAGCAGCAAACGTTTTTTGAGCTTTAAATAGTTGATCAAAGTCTTTATGTTGTGTTTTTTGGTCTTTAAAACTCTAGGTGAGGTATAGTGGTGGAGCATGTCTGCAGTTCCAGCCCTTGGGATACAGAGACAAGAGAATTGTCTAGGAAATCTAGGCCAGTTTGGGCCACAGAGGGAGACACTGTCTCAAAACAGACAAGCAAACAAATGAACAGCCTCTAGTAGACAGTTTGTAACCCCTTTCATGAAAGAGAAAGCAAAGCTCAATGTTGTTTGCCGAGGACATTTGCAACTTAAGACAGGATCCAGAAAGAAAACTGGCTGCAGTGCCAGCCCCTCCTCCCATCACTGTGCTGCTCACAGAGAAGAGACTGTAGGAGCTTTCAAGATTTTCAGCTGCCTTTATACGTCTTCTCTACTATTCAGTTTTCTACTTATGTATAATTGTCTATTCCAAGAGCATCAAAGGATTTATCAATACTTGGGAAAGAAAATCCTTTGAAATATTTCAGGCATATTCTAAAGAAATGTGTTTTGTGATTGTAATACTAAGAAATCTCCCATATACTTATTTAGTGCCTTCCTTTTCTTTGCAGATACTGAACTAAAGAATGTAAATTTGGGCAGGCTAGCAATGTCAATTGAAAAGCAAGAAGTAATTGATGCTACTTTCTGTGGCATAAAGTTACTTTCAAAATAGCTTCATAAAAATTTAGGTTACTTCCCAACACATTAACTTCTCCCTGCAATCAGCACACTGAACAGCCACTAGTTTCAGAAATAGACTAAGAATAAATGTAATGCATTTAAATGGTTTGTACTACATTTTTAAAGCACAAGATACCATCTATCTGTGGTTTGGAATCAAGGTGGCCTACTGTTCTTATCCTATTACATATATCCATATAGCCTTATACTTAAGGTTGCATATTACTCCCTTAGCAGTTCTGTGAAAAATATCCTTTCATATAATGTAGGTAGGTCTAAAATAATGGCTACCTGCATACTTGGTACATGAATAAATAATCACAGATCTAATAGACCTTTATCCACAGAGTTTGTATGTTTGAAGAGAAGCATCATGTCATCTGCATAGACTGATACAACTCATCTGGAATACAAAGAGAAAATTGGAACCAATAGCAACAATTTTATCTGTTGCCAAGAAGTCCTTTGATGCAATTGAATGGGACTACTTGTATTATGTGCCTTAGGTAAATTTGGCTTTCGGGACAAATAGAGCAGATAGCACAATTTATTTTCAACTCATTTGTGTGGTTCAGATCAATGGTTTGCAATCTCCTCCTGCTGGATTGCTGCACTGGGGTCTGAAACAGGGATGAAGCCTCTTTCTAATGTAACTCTTCAGATGTACATTGGAACTATAATATTCCTCAGATCTCATGGGCACCTAAGGAATACTCAGATGGAGGTTTGCAAGTTAAATAATGTATGCTAATAATCTGCTAGTGCTGCAAGCTTTAACAGCATCTGTCCCGAAAACATTAAAAGTAATGTCAGAATTTAGAATGGCTTCAGGCTACAAAGTCAGTGGGAGAGACTCAAAAATGCTATCTTGACAGAATAGTTTCTATTAGTATGACAAGTGACATTTATAACAAAATGTAAACTTAAAAAGAATTGATTCAGGATTCTTGTTGGGGAATGATTAAGGAGTCAAGCAAACAAAACACTTAAAAGTGGGCCCATAATTCAGTGCTGAATTTTTGGGTTTTAAAAATATATGTTTCATTAAATGTCAGGAGAATTAAAGCTTGGAAGAGCATGTCCCTCTTTAAAATTTAATGTGCTAGTTCAAATATTAACTTCATAGTCCTCTTTTTTTTTTTTTTTTTTTTTTTTTTTTTTTTTTTTTTTACCTGGAACTCACTATGTAGACCAGGCTGGCCTTGAACTCACAAAGATCCACCTGCCTCTGTCTCCCAAGGGCTGGGATTAAAGGCGTGCGCCACCATGCCCGGCATACCCCTCTTTTTTACATTTCTACAAATGAAGAAAGTCATTTCTTAGGCTTGTGAGAGCACAGAGTCATGTGTGAGCCTGGGAAAGCATATGCTACCTCAGGGAAAGGACTGTTTGCCTCGTTGGAAGCCATTTCATGGGATACGTCATGACTCAATTAAGCTTGCTGTGGCTTGTCAAGAGGAATTTTCCACTTCATATTGCTGTGGAAGAGCCTGTTACATGTGAATAGCTATACCACTCCAAAGCATCGACAAAATGGACAGTTTACTAAGCGATAAGAAACAGGGTGAGAGTGCACAACCCCGCTCTAGTTTTTAAAACAAATGGGAATAAAATTGCAGATAATAATGGAAAAATCCTGAGGAATTAGCAATGGCGAAAGGGGAAAAGATAGTGAACTTACATTAGCATATCGTTATTTTGATATAAAGTTTCCTCACTTATTTATCCAAGCAAGGTATTAATGACCTTTCCAAAAGGGCACATAAAGGTGAGTGCCAGAGAAATGAGGACTGGAGGACCTGACTGACTCAGGAGGTAGAAAGGATGACAGCAGCGTTCATAGCTAGCTCATGCCCACTCCCAAGAAAGGGCTATAGTGGTGGCAGCTATCTCTGATGTCGGAAATTATTCTGGGTGGCATTTTTGGTCATGAATAACCAGTGTAACTAGCTGTATCACTTTGTACAAAATAGATATTCCTCTTGAATTAATTATTAAAAAATAAACCTGATCACAAATCCTAGACTGTACCAAATGTGTTTAACAAATTCAGCAGACAGCCTCAAATCTACCTGTTCAATAAAAGATTGCTTTGTCAACCAGGCACAGTGATCTGTAGATGTAGTCCCAGCTACATGGGCAACTTACAGAGAGGATCATTTGAGCTCAGAGTTTAAGACAAGCCTTAAGCAAAAACATCTCTATTGTCATATATTCTAATACAGATAACATCTGTTACATCCTTCCTATGATGCTGCAGTAACCCCGTGCATGTGTTATTTTGAGCTACCTGGTTAACCTGACCATGTACAGTTAACTTGGTAGGTTTCTCTTTCATCCAATACTATTTGATATAATTTAAGAAAGGTGATTATTGTAATAGGTTTGGGACCTGGACATCCTTGGGGCAGGGTCTACTGTGAGTCAGTGAAGCAAGTTTCAGCAGCAAGGAACACAACAATAAGACATGGAGGCTCTGGTACACTATCAGGAAGCACATCACAGTTCCCAGCACCAGTCAGGCATTGAACTATTTGTCAGATTCCCCTATATTTGCTGAGGATTTAATTCTCTATCCCATATCTTCTCCCTCAGAGATCCTGCCACCCTCCAGGCTGGAGTCAACATCTCTGAAAAACTTATTCAATATCCTACCTTCCTGGTTACTTGATTTCCTCCCCCCCCCACTTCTGTTCCCACTAATGTTCAGTGAATCATATAACTGAGCATTCCCTAGAACTTGGCATTATCTAAAGCCATGCTGCCCAGTAGATATTTCTACATTCTTAACCCCTCATCTTCCTATCTGCTGCCTCATAACTCAGAATCCACCATTTCTATTATTGCGACCAGAGCGTCTACTACAAAATCCTATCGTGTCAT